TGCACTCCAGCCTGGGTAACAAGAGCGAAACTCCGTCTCAAAAAAAAAAAAAAGAAAAAAAAAAGAATGGTTTCGAGTTAGCCACATGTTATATTCACTTGTTTTTTCTTTTTTATATTATTTTTTACAATTCTCAAATGATTCCTTAACTCATCCCCATGACAAAGTATACCTTTTCTTTCTTGCTTTGGCACAGTAATAATTAATGTCAGTAATAGATTTACTGAAGTCTCAGATTTATCAATAGTTTTACAGATAAAAGAGAAGTCTTATAGGAAAGAGTAGAGTGATTTGACGTATTTTTCATGGTCATTCCTTTTTCATTTTTACCTCTTAGCATTTCTTTTCAGGCACGTGCCATCTTGAACCTGCTGGAGGCTAAGGCTGTTTTTAGTTTCCCAGTGTCCTAGTTCCTTTCTTTTGATTCTATACCGATCATCATTAACATTAATTTTTATAAAGCATTGCTTTCATCAGTAAATATAATTCATGTGTTTTTGATGTAGTAAGTGGCATAGGTTGTTAACTTCTATATAATCTGCATCTTGTTCTCAATCCTCAAAGTGTAGAGACTAAATGAATTAATGTTATTATTAAATATGTAGCTATAAAGCAAAGGCCAGTCAAGTAAGATTTCGATTAATTACAACATGCCACAGACATTTCATTTATAGAAAAAAAATACAATATCAAAGTATGAAATATAAAATTATTTTAACGTCATGTTTACCTTTACCTGGTAGTAAAACAGTTCAAAATAACCAGTGGCAAAATGCCCATGGTTATAAATAAATGCACTTGACATTGTACTAAATGTGTTTAGTGAGCTAATAAGAGATTTTTAAAGATGCAATATGGTGCCTGGTCACTGTGGCTCATGCCTATAATCCTAAGACTTCGGGAAGCCAAGGCAGGGGGAATCACTTGAGCCCAGGAGTTTGAGACCAGCCTGGGCAACATAGGAAGACCCTATCTCTACAAAAATAAAAATAAAAAATAAAAATTAATATATTAACATGTTTAATATAAATAATATATATTTTAAAAATGCAGTATGGTGGCTGTGCACAGTGGTGCCTATCTGTTGTCCCAGCTACTCAGGAGGCTGAGGTGGGAGGATCGCTTCAGCCCGGCAGGTTGAGGTTGCAGTGAGCAGTAATTGCACCAGTGCACTGCAGCCTGGGTGACACAGTGAGACCTTGTCTCCAAAAAAAGAAAAAAAAATGCAGTATGGCTTAGACCACATATTCTCATTCTTTCTTTGGAAAATTTCAGAATAAATAAAAATAAATTATCTTAAATCAAAATATAGGTCAGTTTAAAAATACAAAACCCTTTTTGGAAAACAATTCTTTTTTGTGCTATTCATATTAAGTTCAGCAAGAATAAAAGTTCAATGTCACAAGCAAAAGTAATTAATAGTTACCTCTGAAGTAAACTTTGCCCTTTCAAAATCTGTATAAGTTTTAATGCTTGCTCTTTTCCAACTCCTGGGACTCCCTTTCAGAAAGTGGAAAAAAAGTAATTCAAATGTTAATCAATCACCAGGAATGGTTAAATGTACATTAATTGAAAGTAAGACTCTGCAGCTGAAAGAAAGAATGAGGTAACTCTTTTAAGACAGGAAAAGATGTGCAAGATACATTGCTATGCATAAAACAAAAATTCCACAATAGTGTATATGATCAGGGTTTGTAAAGTAAATGACAATTACACTGTTATCTACATAAACAAAAAATTCAGAGGTTTATATACCAAACCACTGATGGTGTTCATTTTAGGGAAGGGAGGGTCATAATTTTAGAGGGCTTTCACTTACTATGTTAATTATTCGGATGATATTTTAATTTAACCTAACTTTATGTCTGTAATCAGGAAAAACCCAGTTCATTTAATTACATGAACATTCAATATTCCAAAACCCAGACATAAAGAGAGAACAAAGGAGTGCTCTAAGTTAACTCTTGAAATTAAAAACTTAAGAAAATTCAAAGTGTGAATTTCCAGTATGCAAAAATGATATGCATGAATGTATATTCCCATCACAATTTCTGATTTAAACTGAGTTTTCTAGCCCCTATAAGTATATGAATATGTCCTTATAAGCAGAGCTGCTATTTAGCCAGTACGCACTAGGGCTGACACACTCATGCTAACTGGTTAGTAAACAGCTACTGCCCAAGCATCCTGAGTGTCTACCTGCACAGGAATCTCCCATCTAACCTGAACGCTTCCCAATCCACCTATACCCAGAATCCAGCTACTAAAAAGGGTCTATGGCACAGTAGGCACACCCTACTGTGGAAGAGACAGAAGTCTCTTCCATCTCTATAGCCTATGTCTTTGGCATAAACTTTATTAGATATCTTGACTACCATTCTTTTTGTATTAGCATTAGCTATATCTTAAAGTTTTTAAAGGCAAATCAAGTTAGTACATAGTCTTAAAAATGTTTAAGTAGAACAATGTAAATAGCAATTTTTGTTTAAAAAAAACACAAAAGGTCAATATAACTATGGCTAATGCATAATTTAAACATCAGTGTAGCTAAAGTTGGTTTCTGTGAGTTCAAGTCAGCAAATTTTTTCTTAAATACTGGGCTGTTTACAGATTTTAATTATGATATAATTTTACTTAGGAAATAGTCTTCTATTTCAGAAGGAGAATTACAACAAAATAATGGTTTATGGTATTTAAAAGTTTCTTTCCTCCTGCTTTCTTTTCCTACCAGTTTAAAAAAACTTCTTTGATAATATAAATTATAAATTAGGCTTAATAATTTTACTATCCTGCTATATTTTCCTTTTTCCTGAGCTTAGATTAAAAAAAAAAAAAAACAAAAAGCTGTCATTCTTCTTTATACTTCTCTTGGGATTAGAAGTAAAATGAGGATCTGTAAGGATACAGAAATAATCAATAGAAACGTAATAAGAGAACTACATAGTAAGACCTACAATACCAGTCATTTTATATTTTTAAACGCTGTATTTAAGAAAATGGGATTATTCTCATAATGCTTAACTCATCACTCACCTGTTATACTTATTTGTTACATAGCACTAGATTGTACCTCTTAAGATATAAATAAAATATTTCCATGAACAAAACCCAGCACAATGCTGAGGCATGGAAGTATGAAAGGCTTACCCCAATGATCATGTGATTTAGCATCAGTAATAGCATTGAGCATGTGCACAACTGGAAAGCTACAAAGATTACTGAAAACTAAAAAATAGAAAACAGAGTGAAAGAAACTAACACTAGCATGATACAAGAAAAGAACAACTCCTATATTCATTTAAAAAGATAGTCAAACACATATGTGAATCTCTAATGGTTTACTGAGAGTCAAACTGTGGAACTACTTATTATTCTATTCTTGCTTATAATATTCAGTGTCACAAGTCAACTTTTTAGTCCCATCTGAAATGCTGATTATTTTAGACACTTAATAGCTTATTATGCCTAAAATTATATATATATATATATATAATTTTAGGCTTTTTTTTTTTTTTTTTGAGACAGAGTTTCGCTCCTGTTGCCAAGGCTGGAATGCAATGACAGGATTTCGACTCACTGCAACTTCTGCCTCCTGGGTTCAAGCAATTCTTGTGCCTCAGCCTCCTGAGTAGCTGGGATTACAGGCGCCCGCCACCACACCCAGCTAATTTTTGTATTTTTAGTAGAGGCGGGTTTCACCATGTTGGCCAGGCTGGTCTCAAACTCCTGACCTCAGGTAATCCAACGCCTTGGCCTCCCAAAGTGCTGGGATTACAGGAGTGAGCCACCGCACCCAGCCAACCTGACATTATATTTTAAATTTGATTCTTAATCATATAGCTATATCATATTCATATTTACATAGCACATAAAGTATAAAAAACTTTATGAATAGCAAGTAAATATGCCAATTTCAGCTTACCTTTGGGAGATAATCACAGCCAAGAAGTATTGCCAATCCAACCAGAGCATCTCTATCCAAACCTAGTTTACTCTTGATAGATGACATTGTGTAACAGTCAACATGTGGGTCCTAAACAAAGAACAGATTTAATCTTCAAAAAATACATATTTACACATTAAACAACATTATAAAAATAATTTGTTGACGTTCTCTTTAAATGTTTAATTATTCCAGGATGGACGTGGTGGTTCATGCCTATAATCCCAGCACTTAAGAAGCCAAAGCAGCTGGATCACTTGGGGTCAGGAGTTTGGGACCAGCCTGGCCAACATGGTAAAACCCCATCTCTACTAAAAGTACAAAAAAAATTAGCCAGGTGTGGTGACACGTGCTTGTAGTCCCAGCTACTTGGGAGGCTGAGGCATGAGAATTGCTTGAATCCAGGAGGCGGAGGTTGCAGGGAGGTGGAGATTGCAGTGAGCCGAGATCATGACACCACACTCCAACCTGGGCAACAGAGTGAGACTCCATCTCAAAAACAAAAAAGTTTAATTATTCCAAAAAATTTATATAAGAAAATTATCCTGATCAGCAGAATCTTCACAGAATGTGACATTTCAATACATGGAAATAAAGTTGTAGCTTCAAACGTGGCTTAAAAATAATATATTAGTCATTTTTTTCCATTTTATTGCTTTCTGGCATCTAAAAAATATGGATTTCCATCTTACAAAACAAAACATTGTAATAAATATTATAGAAAGTAAACATTCCCTGTAATTGCCCTGCCCAAAGTTAACTATCATTAATAGCTTGGTACATATTCTTCCAAAAAACCACTGTCTTTGACAACTACGTATTAATATTTACTGTTAATTACATTTTTAAGTAAAAATAGAATTATATAAAAATACTATTAAGACATTTTTCACCATTAATATGACTGGATATCTTTTATGTCAATAATAACCTTTTCAATGACCACATTCTATTACATCATATGGATTCTGAAATAGTGTTTCTCAATGAGGATGCCAATATTAGCATTTTGGGAGAGATAACAGAAATGTCTGGCAGAAGGTTTAGTTTGGTTGGCCCCAAGCCTCCAAATATATATAGTCTCTGCCCAAGCCTGAACTGTTACAACCAAAATGTCTGCCAGCAGTATCTCTCCAACTGGGAATCATTAAGTGTAAAGTATTTAATCATGTCCCTATCAATGAGCATTTGGGTTGCTTGCCAAATTTTTGTAATTATTAACAATGCTACACGGAACATCTCTGTATATCTCTCTTTGCATATTTGGAGGTATTTCTGAGGATGAAATACTAAACTGGAAATTCAGGGTCAAAGCAATACATTTTCATATGCAATTCTGTGATGTATTTTTTGAAACTGATTTAGAACCAAGCCATGTGAAGCAAGTCGAGTTCTTATGAGATAAATCCACATTTTGAAGATAATAAACTATGTGGCAATGATTTTTAATAACAGTAAACATTTAGCAATTGCTATGTGCTAGGCATTAGAGTAAGCATTTTACATATATAATTTCACTTAATCAGCCCTTTTAAAAGGTAATTTGTAAACAAATGCTAAACAAGAGAAAGAAAATAAACACCTTTGTATTCATAGTGAAATTCCTGTACACAGTCTGGGCCCCATAGAGGAAAGTATCCCCGTCATTGGTGAGGCAGCCATCTACACAACCAACAGCATTGAGGTAAGCACACATGGCTTCAGCTTCCCCAGCAGCCTGAACCCAGGGGATTCCTAAGCATTCGAGCATATAGAGGCACTGAAAACAAAAAGCAGGTGCAAGATGTTAAAGAATGTTTTCACTGCTAATTTCTTTACCATTTAATGTATTTCTGTATTACAAATATTAATAGCAGCTATTTTGGTGTTTTAAAAATTACAGTATTTAAGAAACACTTGGAAATTTGAACAATGACTGAGTACTTGAGGGCTTTAAAGAATGACTGCCAAACTTTTAGGTGTGATAATAAAAATTATATTCTAGTTATGCTTCTTTTTAAGAATCATCTTTTAGAAAACAGTACTGAAATGCTGAGAATGATACAATATTAATTATGTCTGGGATTTGCTTCAAAATGATGTGTGAGTCAGGAAGTGGGTAGGGGCATAGATGAAACAAGATGAGCCAAGATAATGGTTTAAGATTGGTGATGGGTTACTTTTGTTGATTTAAATTTTTCTGTAATAAAAAATTAAGATTTTAATGTCAATTACAAAGTAATCCATATTCACATTTCATTGTTTTACTAAATGCTATTATCATCAGATTCTGAAAATATCTTTAAATAATAATTAATCACATTAAGATTTACATCTACCAAACTTCAAAAATTTTTCTCATATGATGGTCAATCCGGTATGTGTACTTCCAAAACTAACTAATATGTATAGTTTTGGCTTGAATTTTAAAGTTTGCCTCTTTTTCTCATCTTGCCTTCCCTGTACAATGAAACTCTCATATTATGGGAAACCGTGGAGGGGTCAGCTGTCAGCGTCTTCCTGGGAAATCAAATGTCTGTGCAAAATGATTACATCATTTTGCTGATGCACAAATAATCTGCTGTGGGTTTCCTTTGGTTTATGATTTTAACCCAGCTGGGTAGCTTGTAGTTTAGCCGTATAGCCTAGTTCATTCTTTCTTATCATACACCGTTCTTTTTTTCATGTATCCTCTATCAGGGAATACTGAGTGTGGAGGACAGAAAAGGCTACTTACTTGTAGTTTCTAGAGACTGACAGAATAAATACCATCTCTTGCTTTGATTGATTAATTGCATCCTTGCCACGTTGCATAATAAATGCCTCTGTCAGATGTTGCAAAAAGTCAAGGTACTATGTTGAAAATAATACTTTTCAAGACACTGACCCCATGATTTTAGAGACAGTTTTGTTACAGGTGTTGCTTCAACCTTACCTAGGTAAAAAGTAGCCTTTCATAATACAGTTATTTCAACTTCTTGCACTATTTGCCATTTCAAAGTTTTTCAAAGAACCAGCAAAGAATTTCCTATGAGACTGTTTCAATTTTTCCTACCTTATGTCTCTACCATGTGGGGTGGAGGTGGTATTGGAGGAGGACTAATTTGTGCTTTTCATGCTAATACCTAAAAGATGGCAGTGGATTAGGAGGAAGCAGCGCCTACTAACTGAAGAGTACAGAAAGATAAAAATGACTAATGGGCAACAGTGAACTAAACTAACACAAAATGCCTAAACACCATAATTACTGTAGCAATGAACAGGAATGGAGCAATTTTCTTAAGAAGAGATGGACATCTCTTTTTGTTTGTTTGTTTTATGCTGGTTCTTTAACACCCTAAGATTTGAGGACCATGAATATTTCCAGGAACTGATTATACAAGAAGTAATTAGAACTCAGCACAGATATTTTCTTCAACTGCTGACAGTCATTAAGGTGGAATATTCACTAATTGAAAACTATTTTTAAACATCACATAAGAGTAGAAAATAAAATTTCAGAAGAGGAGAAAAATGACATAATTTTTAACTAAAATAAAAAAACTGATTCAAAGCAAATATGAAAAAGGTTATATTGTTAATAAAGAACTTGCACAAAGAAAAATTAAAAACCTCAAGAAGTAGGACGTGATACCCATTACCCAAAGGGGTATGAAAGTAGGTGAAATGTTTAATGTTACTATTAAAAGACAAATGCATATTAAATATCTTTGTTGTTGCATACTAAATATTACAAAGACAAGCCTCCTAACATCCAATGTTCTTGTGAGTGCACCAAAACTGCTTATCTGACATCTGTATCAGCAGAAATTAATCAGCAAGAGCAATAAAATCATTCCAAAACTTTGCCCCATCAATCCAACTTTGGGTAATTTTATCTAAAATCTCAAATCACAAGAAAACATTACATACACAAAAAATTCTCATCATACTTTCATGGATAGTAGAGAAAAACTAAAAAAGTAAATAACATATACAATCAGGGGTATGATTCATAGCTTCATACATGTTGTACAACCATTAAAAGTAATGACTTTGATTAGAATGTGACAACAGGAAGATATGGGTATGAAGCATTAAGTGAAAAGCCCAGGTTAAAAATCACGTGTACTACTACAACTCTTTAAAAATACACACATTTGAAAACAGACAAAAACTGCCTCCTATTGTTTTATGTAAGTGATTTCTTTCTTAACTTTTATAAAAATATAAAATCTAGCAATATTAAAAGTAACATATAAATAATAGATTGTAATGTAACAATAATTAATTTTTAAAATTATAAGCCCTAAGGGATGCCAAATAGGTATTTTATATATGAACTATCATGAATTCTGAATGAGTGAAGTATGAATTAATGAGATCTCATGTCTTCTAGGAATTCTTTAAGTCCCGAAAGTGTTATAAAAGGTAATATGATCAACTTCCTATATCTACTAGTTGCTTTAGATATACTTTCTTTTGTTTTTATCACATCTCTGCCGAATATTACTGTTCTCATTTCATAAGTACTACTGTTCTCCTTTCACAAGGTAATATACAAGGTAGAGACAGATTATAAATTTTGCTCAATATCTCAAGAGTTTCTACATTCCAGTGCCAGGATTGAAACTTAGGTCAATTTCACTCTAAAAAATAAACTTTTCTCTATGCACACTGGCCTGCTAGTCACAATAAAAGTAATGAGTATTAAAAATGACAAACTATTAGAGTAAAATGTACCCTTTAATTCAAATCAGAATAATTGAATCAAATCTGAATGCTCACCTCTCTTAAGACTGATTTAAAATGTGATCTCCCTGTTTTCTGAGACCACGATTTTCCAGAAGGGCCATACCGAGTCTGATTCCTCTTGCTTATGACATCAGCTTTCAGCTTCGGTGGTTCCCCTTCCATAACAAACACCAGTTTTACATCCATTTGTGTTAAATATGAGATACGAAAAAATAAGTTCCTGAAATATATAAATTAGTAATACATTAATCATCACACATTGATAGCAAAAGTCAAAATAGTATAACATAAAGGCAAAAACATTAGACTAGTATCAAAAATGTTATATATAATAACCTTTTACTTAGGGTTTTAATTAGAGTGGAAAACCACTGAACTTTTTTTTTCTTTGACAGAGCCTCACTGTCACCCAGGCTGGAGTGCAGTGGCATGATCTCGTCTCAGTGCAGCCTCAACCTCCTGGGCTCAAGCGATCTTCCTGCCTCAGTCCTCAAGTAGCAGGGGCAACAGGCAGATGCCACCATGCCTGACTAATTTTTTGTATGTTTTGTAGAGATGAGGTTTCACCATGTTGCCCAGGCTGATCTTGAACTCCTGAGCTCAAACAATTTGCCCATCTCAGCCTCCCAAAGTGCTAGGAATACAGGTGTGAGCCACTGTACCCAGCCAAAAACACTGAATATTTTTAAGCAATAGAGAGTTATGATTATTCTAATTGCTATGTAGAAAATGGTTTGGGGTGGGAGGCCAAGAGCAAGAAACTAGTGAAGATGACGCTTCAGTAGTATAGATGAGAGATGAGGTTGGCATAGACTGAGGTGGTACCTCTCGACACTGAGATAAGTTTGTAATCACAAAGTATATTTTGGAGGTAGATCTAGCAAAACTTACTTGATGGATTGGTGTGGGAGAAGTAAAATAGGGAGAAAATGTCTCCCAAACCTCTTGCTTTTAGTATCTGAAGCATCCTAGTGGATATATTAAGTAGGAGATAGATATGTGAATCTGGAGCTCAAAGGGTAAGAGGTACAAATCTGAGTCCTTAATATAAAGATAGTGAATCTAGACATGTTAAATAGATCTTGAAATCTCAAAATGTAAATGAATAACAACAACAAAAGAAAAAAAGGTGAAATAAAAATCAAGACACTAAGACTGTTCATACACCATACATTTATACTCTAAGAACTTTTACTATACCTGAGGTGGGGCTTCATGACGCTGCCCATCATTTTTTTGACTGTCTGTGCCTCACACACCCAGAGACTCAGATCAACTGCAAGAGTTTGCCCACCAAGATTACGCAAGGGGATGTGTTGCTTAACAGGCTCCAAAATTTGCCACAAGTCATTCACTCCCATTCTGGTGATTATCTGCTGTTACGTGAAACACACTTTGTTAAAGAAACAGAAGGTCATTAACAGGTCATTAATTCAAACAATATATTATAAGCCAGTTCAGGATAATTCATAGAGGATTCTCCTTCTTTCATTAGTCAGCTTTTCAAAATGAATCAAGAACACCTGAAACAGTAAAATGGTAACTGCCTTTTTCCCAGCTAAAAACAAGAGCTAACAAATGCAGAGATGGGCAGAAAACGCAAGGATGCTGTAAATCATTTTTGCCTACATGAAAATTCAATCCTTTATTTACATACTTAGAGAATGAGACTAATTCTCTATCATAACCAGGAAAAACAAAAAACAAAAGCAAGGAAGCATGCAAACAAATGAACTAAAGAAAAATGGGGTTACTGAAGGAAAACTTAGAAAAGTGAGGGGAGATGAAACGAGACAGAAAATGAAGTTGGAGAAATATGGACATAACCTTTTTAAAAGGGCACTGGCTGTTTAAATTGCAAGGTCACATAATCTTCATTGTAGAAAAAGAAAAAAAAAACTTACTCACTTCTAACTTTTAACCACCAAAAGAAAACTAAAGTTAAATATTTTCCCATGTAAATGACATTTTAAAAACAAAATTGGTTTAAACTCTGCTACTGTTATCTGCTTTGGTATTTTCTATAGGCCAGCTTTTCCTTATTATATATCTATATTTGGTTTTCTTTCCATTTGTTAATATTTTGTAAAAATTATGTAGCATGTGCAATGAAAATGCAACCTGACTATACAAATACAGCCCAGATTATTAGGACAAGGTAGGACAAGAATACACTAAGTCAAAAGGCTATATCACCTTTATGCAGAAACCTTCTGAATAAACAGTAATGTATTGTCTGTCCCTTTAACAGAGTCTGTTCTAAAAGTAAATTTTCTCAAATTGCACATAGGTACAAACAAAACAAATGCTGGAATGGTTGCTGTCTGTGACTTATCCTGTTTTTCTGAATCTTAATTTTACAGTGTCGTCAGTGCCACCATGAGTATTGTTATTATTATTTTTTTTTGAGACAGGGTCTCGCTCTGTCACCCTGGCTGGAGTGCAGCGACACAACCTCGGCTCACTGCATCCTCTGCCTCCCAGGTTCAAGTGATCTGCCTGCCTCAGCCTCCCCAAGTGCTGGGATTTCAGGCATAAGCCACTGCACTTAGCCCCACCATGAGTATTATTCTGTATACTCATTTCCATGAAGTGTACAATGACAGCTATGGATGTCACTTTACAGATAAAAATACACAGACTTAAAGGCAAAGAAAGCATTTGGTAGTTAACGGTGGCCCACTACTAATATTGTCTATTTCACATCCTGAAGCCCCACTAGTTGAATATACCATTGTGGCATAGATTCAGTTACTGTGAAAAGTTGTGGATAATTCTGGAAAAAGAGTGGGGTACATACATTCTCGAAGGCATTATGATAAAGAGAAATGAGACAAATTATTAACCCACCAGAACACATAAAACTCAAAGTTTGAGAAGGAAGTTCTTGATACTTTTGCTTTCCTTTGTGACTTGGGGTGGTTACTGGAATAGATTGCTATTGAAGAAAATTATGTAATTCCTTTGTTCTAATTTCATTTAAATGTGACCCTGACCCTAGCAGTCAAAATTTTAAATGCAGGTTATCTTCTGGTTTAGCAATACCTCTTCCAGGAACTTAAGATGTATTATGTGGTATGTATGGATTTATAAATAGCAATATTCACTGTAGCATTGTTTATAATAGCAAGACCCTGAGAAGAGCCAGGTCTCAATCAATAGAGGACTAATTAAGTAAACTGAATTATGGAATGTTCAAACTAAATTAGATGAAATGGCAAATAAATCAGTAGGATAGAAATATATGTACTGATAAAAAAAAACTGATCCAAGTTTTAAAATGAAACAAGTTATATGTTACGGATGATTACAGTTCAGAGATGTTTTTTTAAAACATATCCCTTTGTGCTGTTTCATTTTTAAAATACCATATGCCTGTATTACTTTTCAAATTAGAAAACAGTTAAAAATAAAGTGACCCTATTTATTAGGAGTTGGAGAAATAAACTAGAAATCTTGTTAGATGGTTTGCTTCTTAGATAAGTATTAAGTGACAAATTTAAATAGAATTCATGGGTGAAATTAAAAAGTATTGTTCTGAAAATTTACAAGTACTTGAATATTAAATACTACTTCAGCATAGCGTTTTGAAGGAAGAGAGATTCACATTTTCTGGTTTCCTTCAGACTGGGTAGTCCTGCGGAATTGGCCAGGGCACATATTTTCTCTGGCAACTCCCAGTTGTAAGGTTCAACATTCTTTTCCTATCTCTAATGTTTCCTTTTGTAAGTTGACTACACATATACAAATAAATAGTAATGAAGATTGCCACCTAGTGCAGTGGTGTTTATGATGCCACATAAAAACACACATTTATATATAGGACTGTGATGTCAACTGTATTCCTTCTGAGGGTTATGGTAAAAAAAAAAAAATCAAACAGCAGTAAGGTAGATTCTTGCTTATATACACTGCAGTCCTCTAAGTATTTCAAGTATATTAGGATCATTTTGTAAAGCTTTTAATGAAATAATATTAACTGGGGGCAGCCATATCTAAAAAAAAAAAAAAAAAATCCAGCACTGATTCGATTATTGGAAACTCCTAAGCAAGATAAAGAGGGCTTTTAATTAATCCCATAAATAGTATCTTTTAATATTACACGATTACTACAGTTAGAACTTAGTTTATATTATTTCTTTTGTCAGAAACAAACCTGGTTTAAAGAATGATTGACCATGGTTAATTCCAAAAGAGGAAAATTATGTGAAATGTACATTTTATTAAAAAGAACATCATAATATTTTAAGAATGCGATTAACCCAAAATCTGTTTCCATCATCAACTGTTTTCCATTCCTTATCATATGTTCTTTGCACAAGCTGTTCCTCTGAAGTGATATTAAGCAATGGTTAAGACTGTAAAAGCATAAAACATTCCAAAAAAGCACAGAATGTAATAGCTTTTAAGATAGTAAAGTACAACTACACTGAAGGATAAAACAGATGGTTCTTGCATGAGGTCATAATCATTGTGATGAGGTTACTTGAAAATGGTTCTGCATTAAGTAAAATGTAAAGATACTACACCAGCCATGCATGGTAGCTGACGCCTATAATCCCAGCTCTTTGGGAGGCCAAGACAGGTGCATCACTTGAGGCCAGGAGTTCGAGATCAACCTGGCAAAATGGTTAAGACACCACTTCTATAAAAATAAATAAAAATGTAAAATACTACACCAAGAACTATTTATAATTTCATCTTGCTTTTTAAATACGGTAAAATTTAAAATTTTTTTGGTGTGGGATTTGGTGATTTCCCACTCAAATCTTTTATAACAAATAATTATATTGATGTCAATCCGTTCATACAATCAATATATATATATATATTGCCTATCAAAAACAGTCTCCTGACATCTGCATAATTTTTTAAGAATTAGTTGTCACACAAGTCTGCTTACATGAATCAATGAAGTCAGAACAACATACAGCAGATGACTTTAAGCTATTAATGGCTTAAATTTATTTAGCTTATTTGAATCAACAAAGTCAGAATACATAGCAAACAACTTTATAAGCAATGGACTTGGGATAGAAAGCTAGGATTTGAGTCTTGAATACATACCACTGATTAGCTGTATGACCTAAGGAAGACATTTAACCTTTCTACAAAATGAGAGATATTAAACCAGATGAATTGCAAGATTCTAAGATCTGTAACCTAGTATCTAATATTTGAATCTCATGACCAACTGGCAGCATGGAATAACAAAAAAAAAATCACTCAATTTCAGAAATTATTGCTTGGTATAAAAGAACATAAATTTCCATCTTAAAGAAAGGATTTAATAATCCACTTCCAGTTAAAACAAAAACAAGTCCTTTGATGTAACCATATGGTGCCCATAAATCAATTTAAGTTCCTAAAACTTCCTTAAAAGCTAATAAGCTTTTATTGGTTAATTATAAAACTGAATGAGGTGACAAAAACACAGAACCCTGTTAATTCCACTAATGAATCAAATTTAAAGAACATAAAAAGAGGTCAGTGGCTTAATTGATGCAAAAATACACACTTTATTAAAGCAACAGTTTTGCAATTTACTTCCGCTTTAAGAAAAACATTAGGAAGAAAATTTACTTTAAAAAAGCAGAAAATGCTTAAATTTCCCAATTCCCATTTAGATGACTATAAATTCATATAAAGATTGGTAAATGGTGAAATCTATTTCAGTGCAAGATTATATTTTAAGGGATTTACCACATAATCTCAGTAATTAATGCTGTTCTTTAAAATTATTTTTTCAATTTTAATATGAATTTAGCCTAAACGCTGAGACACAACATAATTCATGCTTATCATTAATACTTATTAAAGGTCTACTATTTAACAGGAATGCTTGTAGGTGCTGGAGAAACAATAATGGAAGATCAAGCTCTGTATTTAAAGACCTTAGTAGGGTAAGTGAGACTGCAGAAAAAAAGGCATAAAAGGTAAGAGAGCAAGCTATAGTTGTATATAGAAAAAAAGGTCCTCCACTTAGTCTTAGGAATCAACGAACAACGGTTCCTGAAGGAAGTGACAGGTAAGTAGGGACCTCTCAACTGTGTTTCCCATTGGTTACAGCAAGGCCAGATGTTTTGGTCTATTTTGACTGTCATATTTTTCGTTGATCCATGGCAAGGGCCACAATAGAAATATATGTGCGATTACTTTTAAAAATAAAAGGTGACTTTGATGGAAAGAATTCTATTACTGGAGGCCAGAATTTCGACATCAATGGGAGGTGGGGTAAGGTGGCAGTCAATGCATTATTTTCCCCACCTAAAAGAGAAGATTTTGAAGTATGAAAAGTAGGTTATCACCTAGGTCTGTATATTCATAGGAAGGGTTGTGTAAAGACCGAAGGGGTAGTGTGGGGTAGAGAAGGGCGCTGAAACCTAAACCAAGGAAGTACGATTTCATCACTTCTGACGTTTATTTAGGGGGGTTACACTCTAGGTTACCAAAGGAGGAAAGAACGATTGTAAAACTACAATGCCTTAAGGTAATTACTGTAACATAACCATATCCAAAATATAACGTTAACACGGAAAAGGGAACATTCAAGTGTGCCTATGGGGACCAGGGAGGGCTCGCCCGGAATGCCCTTGAGTGAGGGGTGGGAGTTATCCCCACCGCGTGCCCGGGGGTAGCACAACTGGACGCTGCGGCTTCGGCCGAGCGCGAGCGCCCGGCGAACACGCAGCTTTCCCGGGGCGGGGTGACCCGCAGGGCCCGCGCTAGAGGAAGCAGGGGCCAGGTCGCGGCCTGGCGGCTCGGTTCGGATTTCCTACTTTATTCAAAGGGAGTCACTGAAAGTGTTTTCGGAGGAGCAGCGAACAAAGAGCTCGCCCCTAACCGAGACTGTCAAAGGAACCAGTGGGAGAACCGGGGCGGCACCGTCTCTCCAAGTCCCGCGGGACTTACCCGGACAACCCTTCCTCCTCAGCTCTGGAAGAAGCCCCTTCGTCATTTACCAGTTTAGCCTGAATCCTACCAAATTTCTGAATTTTCTCGAAACGAAAAGTCCTCTTTCTTTATCCAACCAAAGAGTAGTGCCTGGGACTCAGCCGCCAGACCCGGGAGCACCAGGAAGCATTTCAAATCCGGCGCCCGCCCGCGCGGCCCCGCCTCTTCCGGGAAGTGACTGTCCCCTTTCCCCCCGCTGGGGCCCGCTCGGCTTTCCCTTCCCGGCTACCAGCCGATCCAGAGGACGCATGCGTGGACCTGTTGCCGGGGGCGCCCAGTTATCTGCCCTTTCTCTTAGGCAAATCACCCGCCTCCCCCTCGTCCGGCCGCTGCGGAGCCGCGCGTGCCTACCAGCTTCCCACCCACCCACCGAGGGACACTTCCGGCCTCTCAGGCTCTAGCGACGTGAAACCTCGGAACTGCGCAGGTGCGGGCAGAGTCCGAAGGGAGGGAGGGCGGAGCGCAGGCGCGGTCAGTCCCGCGTTGGGCGCCGGAGCGCCGGGGCTCCTGCCTTCCCTTGCGGCAGGCGCGCGCTTCCCGGCGGGTCAGCAGTGGTTAGCCGAGGTCGATACGCCCGCAGGGTGGCCTTAGCGTCCGGTCGCACCACGACAGTCCCGCCGATCAGGTTCCTTGGGGAGACTTCGACTTGTTGGCGGTACGATGAAAGCGCGCGCTGTCGCTTTCCCTTGCTCCGGGGTTCGTCCTCCACCGGCTGTCCCCTTGGCTGGCGACCCCTAGCCACCTGGGAGAGGCAGGGTCAGCTCAGCTGCAGCGGTGTCCACGGTGGTCCTCGCGGGCCCGGGCGGGAGGTGTCCGTCCCTCGGGCGGGTCGGGCGCCCGGTGGGATCTTCGCGCGCTCTTAGAGGCGGCACCGGTCTCCTAAGCCACGGGAAACTTGGCGTCGGCGCGGGGCCGCTCTTTCCCAGACGGCCGTCCCCAGACTCCCCGGGGCGGTGGCGAATAACTGGAGTTGGGGAAGAGGTCTGGGGGAAAGCTGGGGTCGGGAATGGCTTTTAGCACGAATCTGATGATACCTCGAAGGCGGCAACTGGTGTGTTTAAAGGCTGTACACAAAGATCACTAAAATCGGATTTGTCATGAAAGCCCAGTTTTACGAAAAGGCAAATTGTATTATTTAGAAAAATTAACAAGTGTTTAAAGGTTTGTTGATGGCATTTCTTTTCCCTAATCTTTTGGAAATGAACCGGGGAAGAATCCCAATTGGGAATTTCGAAAAACAGGACTCTAGGGTAGAGAAAGGGTTGTGGGACCAATAGGGTTTGAGGTAATACTGTGAAACATCTCAGAGCAATCATCTAGTATTTAAGCCCTCAAGACAGAAGTTTTGTGAGTGCTTATTATTCTGCATATTTCATTAGTAGGAGATTAAAAGGCAGTGTTTTAAAGGTAGACTTCTCAGTAATAATATATTTAAAGGAAAAAAGAAAAACCCAAATTCATTTTGGAACCAATTCTGAGGGATTGACTGTACCTAGCTGACAGGATTCTTAAATATGTGGAGAAAAACCCAAATTCCCTGACTTTTAGATGGTTGCTGTGTGATCTTTTAAAGTGTCCAATAGTGTATGCAATGGCATGCAGTTTCATGGGTGTGTGGGTGGGGAGGGAGCATATTTGAACTTCTGTTCAGGTTTACTTTATTTCATTTGATTTCTACGTAAAACATAAGAGTATTTTATGTTGGAATGTGTATTTCAAATTTTCCTTAATGGGTGCAAGTACAAAGCGGTTGGAGACAACTAGTATATTGCTTAAAAACGTATTTATATCACAAAGAATCAGAGTTGTGTGACTGAGCAGGTTGGTACCACCTCTTTAGTTTTAGTTCTTCTTCCATAAGTTGGAAGGAATAACACAGTTATCAGTGCATCCTCCGTATCTGTGGACTCAATCAAGGGATTGAAACTATTAATTACAGAGGAAAAAAGTGGATGGTTGCACAGACTTTTTTGTTCTCGTCATTATTCCCTAAACAATACAATATAACAATTATTCACATAGCATTTACATTATATTAGGTTATACAAGTAATCTAGAGATAATTTTATGTGGGGAGGTCATACACATATATGACACCGTTTCACATAAGGGACATGAGCATCTGTGAATTTTCGTATCTGAGTGAGAGAGAGGGTCTCTCGTTTTGTAACCAATTTGGAGGGATTGAGTGTACCTGGCTGACAGTATTCTTAAATATGTGGAGACAGAGGAAGAGAAAGTTATGTAGTTACATATTGGCATCTGTCTTCAATCCGTATAAAGCACTTAGTATTGAAAAAAGTACAAATATCATGTTAAAGGTATTACAGTGAAAAACATGTTTTATTCCCCGAAGCCTTATTTTACTGAATCTGTAGAATTGTATATGAGACCTACCTAAATCTTGACTGTCATTTTTAGACCAAATTTAGGAAAAATAATCAAAGCAGTACTTGGCTTACTTTTAGGAATTAGTAACTCAAAATTTTACCATGCTAGCTTACATTGTATTTAAGACATAATTAAATGCCACAGTTCTATATAGACAACCATAATCCAGCTGACTGAGGATCACGTGTAGTCACTTACACATTTTTGATTGACTAGTTAAATAAGTTACATCTTTTCTCACTGAGG